ATGTGGTCACCTCTGTGGTAGGGATTGAACTCATGCTGAAGTGACTTTAGCTTCTTAATGCTGTGCTTTAACCCACTGCGCCACCCAAAGCCCCAAACTATTACATTGTTTAAAAAAAAAGAAGCTAAAAAAGTTATCACCAGCAAAGCCTATCTTTACTAAACACTGAAAAGTCTAATGAAAAAATTCCTTCAAAACAGGATGATTGTATATTACTGTCTTAAAAGGAGACACCTGTGTCATTTTCCAGATTACTGTAGATTCATGTGTGATAAGTCTGCTAATGAGTGCATCATTTCTTTAAATCATAAGGACACAATTGAATATCCTGAGTTATACACACCCCAGCCTAAGGGACTTAACTAATTAGTGGTTCAGCTCATTGGACTCTTGGAAAAATCTGTTACTTATTTTGGGAAATATTACCTGAATCTGTTTTCTTTTGTATTCACTTAATATTGTTGCTATAGCATTTGCCTCCAATGCATTCAGATAGCCACCAAATGATGTTTGTGAAACTCCATGTTAGTGAAACTCACTGCTTACTACTCAGGGTACATTGTGAAAGAGGGGAACACACATAATTGTAAGAACAAGGACTGGAATGTTGGAGAGGTTATCAACAGATTTAACTGCTGGATAACCAGCAAATTGGACCCAAGCAATCAGAGGTTCCCTACAACATTTGTCCTTGGAATGTATATTTTGCTCACTATGCCCATGCCTACCACTTCTTAAGAAAGCAGGTGCTCTTGCGAGACTACCTGACTGTTGAGACTATTCAGAATGTGTGATTAAACACAGTTAAGGCATCTATATGAACGTTTAAGATTCTGGAGGGCTACTCTTTTCTTACAGCCACCCAGCACACACCTTGCTCATTAAACCATTATTCCATCTACCAATCTGGAGTGGTGAGCATTTTTTGTTGTTCTCGGCTTGCCCTTTGTGCAGATCAGTTTCAAAAGTCATCCTGGCACATTTCTGAATTTTGAAACAATAGTTACCTTGAAATGATCTAAATCTCCTAAACTATTAAGTACAAAATAAATCATGAAAACTTCCTTGTGATAGACAAAATGTCCATATTAATGGAGCCCAAGATTTCATTATAATCTATACACTATCAAATAGTTGGTTCACACTGAATTTATATTAAGTTAAAACCACTGAGTCTTCTTCACAATTTAATACTTAAATCACTTAAACCACTTGCCTTTTGTAACTGAATTTTTTACAGTACAGAATTCCACATTTGATCCTATTCAATTTAATCCTGCTTGATTAAAGTTTTCTTCAGTCTACTAAGGACTTTTGCATTTTTTCTAGCGCTATCTTGTATGTTTACTCTGTCTTCTAAATGTGTATTATTTTCAATGGGTTGGGCAAGCTAGTTTGTTTTTATGGTAGTCATAGAAAAATAACTTCAATGGGATAGAGCTGAAGTTGGAAGTTTCTTGTCCACATAGAAACATTATTAGACACTGTCAATTCAAATGGCTAATCCTTTGTTCTGTCCCCAACATTTAGTTCATGTTACTTCATTTTATTCTCAAGGGCATTTTGAGAAACTGTTGAAATCCCATGGAGGGGTACACAATATTTACTGCCTTGTGAGACCTCTAGGAGGTAGCTTAAAAGGAAGGCAGGCATCCTCCAGGGCAAATAACTCAAAGCAGCCCATGTGATTGCCACTTTAGAGACATACCATATGTGTGATATTAAGCCACTGTAGACAGATGAATTAAAATGTAGTTTCAAATATTAGCTGCAACTCCAAAGTCTGAAAATCAAAGCTTCAAATACATATATACACTTATGACAGACTTTATATATGTATTGTATGTAATCTGCTCCAGAATGAATATGAGCAGAGAAGTATTCATTTAGCAACTAATGTGATTCCCCAGCAACATCCAGGAGGCCAGCTAGTATTTAATTTCCTGTAAAATATCTATGACAGAGAGACCAATACAGTGTAGTAAACTCAGAACCAGCACAATAGTGACCGGGTTAAGTGCATCCTATAGAATGTCAGAAATGGGTTCAAATTTTGACTCACTTAACAGCAATGTCATTCTGAAAAATTATTTGACCTCTTTTAAAAAGCTTATTTCCTTATCTGTAAACCAGGGAAGATAATATTAAAGCTACCTTACAGTACTAGTCAGAAAAACTGAGCATAATGGTGAGTACATTAACTTTTTATTATTCATTCCGATCTAACAGAAATTACTTTAACTGGAAAAGACAATCTTGTGAAATTCATGCTAGGTAGTGCCAAATAGAAATCTTTTTAATAATTTCTTTCATGGGGCCTCTCTGATGGTCCAGGGGTTAAGTGTCAAGAGTTACCATCTTGACAGCCCTCCCTAGCAGCCTGCGTTCAATCTGGCCAGGGAGCTGACCCATACGGTCCAGCAGACCACTTATGTCACACACACTGCTCCTCTCAGCAGTGTATTTCAATAGATTTGCCTGTTCTGCTCCCCATTCTGTCTCGGATGAATACTCTCACCCCACCCTACCCTAATCCTCTGACCTACACCCCATACTTTTTTGCAAAAATATATCTTTAAAAAGTAATATATTCCTTTCATGCTCATAAACTATTTAAGAATGAGTTATAGAAACCTCCCACAAGTTACCTTAAATGTGCTAATGTGCAATTTGAACAAGAGTTTTTAAAATGGACATTAAAAGCACTGTAGGAAGTGCAAATCTGTGCTTAGATACCGTAATACAGTTGGAGCTATATACCTAAACACATTCCATATCATGAATAATGTAGCCTTTGTATGTCAGGACAAACTACTCCTCATTAAAAGTTTGGCTTAATCTTTTGAGTTTGTGGGTTTAGAATAGCTTTTGTCAAGAGTTTTTATCCATCATCAAAGTCCCTACTGCCAAGATAAGTATGTACACTCTCAGATGAAGTTGTTCTTTGGGGTAGCTTCAGTCTGCTATCAGCCAAATCATATTTCTCCTATTTTTGAAAAAGTCCCTTTCCTCAAGTCTCCTAACAGACTTCTGGGAAGGTAATAGAAGGGCCCTCTTTAACAAACCAGCAGACTCTATTTCAATATTGTACACCCACTCCTCTCCATGTACACATATGCGGTGAATATACACACATGTGTGTGTGCATGTGTATCTATCTATCTAGATACACAATTTGAACTTAAGAATGGGGTGTCAACTAAGTGAACATTGAAATTGAAAGCGTATCATAATTGCTCCACTCTTACTGAAGGAGGAGAGACAGCAGAACAGGATATATTCTTCTTCATTTAATTATGAGTAAATAGGTAAACTGTTAACTAATATAGTAGGATATCCAAAACAGAGGCTGTAAAAAAAAAAAAAAAGAATTACTTCACGTAAGAGATGAAAGAACAGTTCAAAGTAATAAAAAAAAGTAAAAAATAAAAAAGTAAAAATTAATGGACTATAAATCAAAAAAGTAATACAAAAAAGACAGTTTTTTTTTTTTCAGGAGAAAACAAAATGTATTAAAAATAAATGTTTGGCAAGGATAACTAAGATATTCTCTATTTTTCAAATGTTTAAAAGAAATTCACCTGCTAAACTGACTCAAACCTCAGACATCATCTGGTTTTTCCATGGCTATTGATTTACTGTTATGTTCTATGTCACTGGCTTATTTTAGTTTATTTCCCTATAAAATCACTCATGTCATTAAAATTCTTAAATTTATTATGGCATAGTTTACGATTATCTGAAACACCAAGAATCAAAAAGCAGTGAAATAATAAATACCATTTTCTAGAGGTTTCTGAGGAGTACCAATAAGCCAAATGTTACTATGTATGCTTAAAAGATAAAGTAGGAAATGCTGAGTTTAACAAAGTTTGGGAAATGCTGAGTCAGACAAAGTTAAATAGTTTTTACTTTTTTAAAGTGAAGAACATACTCATAAAAAAAAAAAAACACCAGCCAACATTTACTATAAAATAATTCTGCAAGAGGAGGTATGATATAACAGCAGCTTGCAACCTTATTTGACCAATTCCTACAGGAATGCTTTTTCAAAAATGCAATTTAGGATTGATGCAGCAAAAACAGTCTGGTTAAAATAACAAACAAGACAAGAATGCCATTGCTACTCTTTACTATTTAGCACTGTTCTGGAAGTGTTTAATGTAGTAAGAAACACATACTTTGAAAAAAAAAAAAAAGAGCATAACTTTTATAACTGCTTACCAGAAAACTCAAAGGATTAACAGAATATCTCTGGAAAAGACCAGAAAATTGCCAGTTTAAAAATTAATAAATTATATTACATTCTTCACCTATATAACAAGAAATTGCCACATATGTAAACACACTGAATAAGAGCTCCCAATTGTAGTAATGTTTCATGTATGGCCATATTGCCGAAGAAAACATCACAAATTATACAAGACTTAAATGATAACTCTTGAAAGATATAAAGTTTTTTTTTTTTTTT